TCGAATGATTGTCCCGCAAAGTGATAAACACTTAGCACTTGAGGGCACTTGCTCCCTCTCTACATGTGTGCCCCCACATTTTTCACGCATGCATATCTTTTTTCACGTTAAGAGTCTCACAATCTCACATTATCACGGGGCCCACAGGACTGAAACGATTATGATAATATATTTTGGGAAAAGTATATATCATTTTTATTTTGTCTAAGAGACAGAGATGTCCAACCGGTAACTGGTATATTTTACGTAGGATCTATGTGTCCTCTTTCAAGTATATGAATGAGTAGGCAGATCACTGTACACAATAATAATCGACATAGTCAAGTCGTGGGGTGTGTGCACAGTGACCCTTATTGGATTAGATGGTGTGTACCTTATCGGTTTAACCCCTTATTTATAGATGGGTTACCTGAAGGAGTGTACTTCTGGGCTTCTTAAAAATATTGAGGGCCCAAGTCCAACTGCTTAGCTGTCTGGATAGGATTGTCATTAATAGAAGATTTCCTCCCTTTTGTGCTGTCCTTTATTGGTCCCTCTAGAATATGGGCCTTTGTCATGTCCATAATAATTTTAAGGGAAAACTTCAAAAAATCCCTACAAGTTTTCTCAAAATCACTTAACCCCTCCCCGAAATTTTTAATCATTTACCCCCCTACTCAAATTTTTTTTATCACTTACCCCCCTAATTTGATTTGTCATCCGAAATTTTGTTAATTTTTTTAAAAAGTACCAAAATTACCCTTAATAGAAAAAAGAAAAACATAATTTTTTCACAAACATAATTTTTTAAAAGGTACCAATTGTAAAACTTTATGTTTTATCATAGCTAATTCTAGAACCGCAAGGTGATTTAAGGGGACTAAGTGAGAATACCTCCTTGTTATAATAATAATAATAACAAATGATTTGATATAAAACTTGTCATAGTTACAATTTTTTCTTCGAGTCAAGACTTGGAACTTGGAAGCCTCGTTGTATGTCAATATTAGCATTTGTTGGTGAATTTTGTTTTGAGAATGTGAATTATATTATAAGTTTTTCGCTATATATCAGTTAAATAGATGGTGTGAGTGGGGCAAGTGTTCTGCATATATACCGACCCTGGTCCATATTTTTGTATCTCCCATTTTTGTTCACAGATACATTGGACCTCATGGGTTTTGATAAAAGTAGGCTTGCTAATGAAGTAGGTTTTTTATGCCAAACTCTATGATAGTACTCAACTTTCGCAACATACCTTGCGGGTTTTACAGTAAAAAATCCAAACTTTCTCTTCAGGAATTAAAATATAAAAAACAACATCCTATTTGTTTCGTATATATGAATATTTTAAATGTAAATTTATAACAATTGTTTGCAAGCTTAAAATTAAGCAATCATCCCTTAAATTAAAAAGACATATTAAACTAGTTACAAAGTACTTTGTGAGAAAATTATGTTTTTCTTTTTTCTATTAAGGATAATTTTGGTATCTTTTAAAAAATTTAACAAAATTTTGGATGAAAAAACAAATTAGGGGGGTAAGTGATAAAAAAAATTGAGTAGGGGGTAAATGATTAAATTTTTTGGGGAGGGGGTTAAGTGATTTTGAGAAAACTTGTAAGGGGTTTTTTGAAGTTTTTCCTAATTTTAAAGGATGTAAAGTTGTATTATATATTTTAAGTGAGAGAAAGAGATAGATAAAATAGGAGAGAGTGGATAAAAAAATATAAAGATGTGGGTCCCACCTCTTTTTGAGAGTGAAATAACACAAGTTATGTCATTTAAAAGGACAAAAACTTTTCCCATATGTTTTTCTTACTGAAAGGGAATTGTTCGCATCCAAATAGAGTACCTCACTTCCTGGAGCTGGATCATCTTCTCTATTGCTCACATTGCAGAAACTCTGCTAAATTCACTCCTTACTAACCATAATCACGCCCTATTCACCTTCCCCCTTATTTTTAAATTTGTCTAATACTAGTACGGTAACTCCATAGAGCCTTATTCTATATATACCATTGTCTATTCACTAATCATTAGATCAACATACTTCTCATTTTGGGATAGAGAGCACGTTTCTACTTTCTGACAAGTTCAGTATAAGGGATAAGCAAATTTAAAGCATTAAGTATGTTTTTTTTTTTTTTTTTTTTGGTGATTCTATAGTCCTATCTGTTCTAATCAAGAATGGTTAAAAACTTACAAAGGTTGATTCATACAGGACGATTCATTAAAGGGGGATTTAACTTCTGCGGATATAGCTACCAAAGAGAATTTGGATAATCTGGTAAAAGTGGGTGAGCAGTTATTGAAGAAAACAGTTGCACGAATAAATCTAGATACGGGTCTATATGAACCAGTTCAAGATAAAGGCACCAATGAGGAAGAACTCAAAAGGTTCATTTTATTTAATTATTTGGTAACAGTTTGAACCTATTAAAAATAAAAATAAAAGGCTTCAACTCCTCCAACAAAAATTGATTTATGCTTGCAGGTTTGCGAAATCACTCTCGGAGGAAAGAAAACTGAGAAAGTCCAAGTGACAAGATGGGAAGTAAAATGATAATCAGATTGCATGTGTATTCCATTGTGAATAATGCTCTTCATTGATTTATTTAATAATCCCAATATGATTACGATGCTATAGTGTAAAATTTTCTACAGCGAATGTGAAGAAAATAATTGTTGCTTTCTTACGAAGTTAGAAATAAATTTCAAAATTTATCATGATTAATTATAGAACATTTATAATGATCTCATTTGGTTATCCAAATTCTCAGTTGGTGTCCATTGGAATTTCTAGAGATGGGAGTGAGCAGCACGTTAGGTCAATCACAAATACACATGTTTTGACCTAATTAAAGCCATCAATAGTGGTTAAATTTATTCCCCAGTTGAATTAAAAAAAAATCTCAATCCATTAAGTATAGAATGGAACTTTTCCAACCTATATATACAAAACTTGGCTATTTAATAAAATAAGGGAGTTAAATTGAATGAGATTATTTATTTTCTACTGCAACATGCAATCCAGATCAAGAGAGAGAAAGAGAGCTCTATTTCACCATAACCATCCATCATACATTTCACCCACGCCCACAAAGACCGGATGAACATGTTGCCATTGCAAGAAAGAAGTTTAGAGATGCATCCTAGGTTCAGAAATAGAAACAAATTAAATTAAAATTTTAAATTATGTATTTTAATATGTGCAAGAAATTATAAAATGAAATTTAAGTAGATCATAAATACATATTCCATACAGTTTAAGTAAATTCTACACGAAAATTCATAAATAGCGACGGAAAATTAACTGTCGCAAATTACAACAGAATTTGCGGCTAAATTAAATTGGGCCAATATTCTAATATTATCCTTTCGCAAAAATTGCAACGGTATATTTCCTCATTTCGTAGTAGTTTGCGATGGATATTTTGCGAATTTCATCGCAATTTTTGTAGTTGACTGCGACATACGTTATCATTCGGTCGCAAATTTGCGATGGTATTTTTCATAAGACGTCGCATATTTGCGACACTATTCTAATATTATTCTATTGCAATTTGTGGTGGTATTAAGTGTAGTCTATCTCCATTCATGTCAATTTTTTGCGATAAAAAATACGTGTTTTGCAAAAGAATATTTTCGTCGCAATATGCAGCAAAAATTAAATAGCATTGCAAATTCTGTTTGCGACAAGATTTACAATGATTTTTTTTTTTCATCGCAAACTATAGTTGCAATGAAAATGTTCGTCAAAAAAATTTTGCTAATCAATTAACTTGTAGGGTCAACACTCAAAGCTTTTTTTGAATATTTAATTGATATTACGTACGTGTTATACTCGATTAAATCTTCGGTCAACGGTCATGCAGCATAGATCAAGTGACCAGCTTACTCAAACAAGAATATATAAGGCAAAGTGATAATTTTATTTGAACGAGGGCAAAATAATCAATGAGCCTTATTTGTATCTCTCACTCAACGTATGAATGAGACATCTTTGATTCCACTTGGAGTTGCAGCATGCATCACCCAATCTTTGGAATTAATTCAACCAAAATATTTAAATGTACATAGTGCTCTATAACTGGGGCTAGGTTTCCAGATCAACGAGTCATTCAAAGAAAAAAAATTGCCTAGTTGTTCGTGTTTAAGAATTCATTGCCATTATCGTAATATAGGGATTTCATTTAATGAAATGGAACTTCTTATTGAATGTGTATGTTTACAGGAGTTAGACGGTGAGGATGCAAGGCTTGCTGATTACTTTGATGTAATTGCTGGGACAATCATTTAATGAAATGGAACTGCTTATCGTAATATAGGGATTTCATTTAAAAAATGGAATTGCTTATATTACGATACCCCGGCCTGCTTAATTATCTGGATTCTGGATAGCGTGTGCATATAATATAAATAGAAACCTGGTCTGGCTTGAGAAGTTCTCCGTTCTTTCTGCTGGATGAACTTGTTAATCCCACATGCAAAGACTTCATTAATCATTAATTTTATGTCAGTCTTAATCTATATATATATATATATATATATATATATATATATATATATATATATATACATGGGTCAGGATCATTTTACACCAGTGTAATCTTGACCGTTGATCCCATTTATATCCAATGACTCAATTTTTTTTAGTAATGTGAGTCATTGGATACAAGTAGATCAATGGTCAAGATTGAGTGTAAGACTTTTAACTCTTACACCGGTGTAAGAGTTAAAAGTCTTACACTCAATCTTGACCATTGATCTACTTGTATCCAATGGCTCACATTACTACAAAAATTGAGTCATTGGATATAAGTGGGATCAACGGTCAAGATTGAGAGTGTAACTTACACTGGTGTAAAATGATCCTATCCCATATATATATATATATATATATATATATATATATATATATATATATATAGTGTTAGCGGGTGCCTCAAAGCATTAAGTTGTCCATCCAGATTCACACGCTTGTTAATAATTGAGTTGATTTTAGTTTTCTTAAAGCAATGGAAAACCCAATATCTTCCCCCAAAAATTTGCTTCCAAAATGTGATAATCAGAATCTCATTACGATTCTTAGCATTGATGGTGGAGGCGTCCGAGGAATCATTCCCGGGGTTATTCTTGCCTACCTTGAGTCTCAACTTCAGGTTAATATATATCTAAGCAAAAATTGCACTGAGCACATACACACATATTCTTAAACAGATCCCTAATGCTTTTGAAGGTGTGTGTTTATAGGAGTTAGACGGTGAGGATGCAAGGCTTGCAGATTACTTTGATGTAATTGCTGGGACAAGTACAGGAGGAATCGTTGCTTCCATGTTAGCAACTCCAAATTCAAAGGCTAATAATCGCCCTATATTTGCTGCCAAAGATATAGTGCCATTTTACCTTGAAAACTCTCCAAAAATTTTACCACAAATAAGGTCTACTAGTATTATTGTTATTATTATTATGGGTAAAGTGTGTGTCATTTTAAAGGATGTAAAGTTGTGTCATTTTAAGAGAGAGAAAGAGATAGATAAAGGAAGAGAGAAAGTTGACAAAAAAAATAAAGGTATGGGTTTCACCTCTTTGTGAGAGTGAAAGGATATAAGTTGTGTCATTTAAAAGGATAAACACTTTTCTCTATTATTATACATCTATGATTGTTATGCTTTATATTCATACATATAATCTTGGATATGCTGTTAATTAATATATGAATTTAATATTTCTCATGTAAACTGAAGATAATTTTATCTTATATACTTATATGAAAGTGGATAGAATCATATGAAAAGAAAAAAGAGAAAAAAATATGAGTCCTACACACTTTCGTACGAATACGGAGAAAAAACTTTAATCCCTTAATACATAGAACTAATCAACCAATTATATGTTCTATTTCTATCCATTTTTTACTTTTGGATTTACGTACAGGGGAATATTCGCCCCGATCATAAAGATAGTGAAAGCTTTGGCGGGACCAAAGTATGATGGTAAGTATCTTCACGAGCTGATAAGAAAGATAGCAGGAGACACAATGTTGCACCAAACCTTGACAAACATTGTTATTCCAACTTTTGACATCAAGAAACTTGAACCTACCATCTTTTCCTCCTATCAGGTCATTAACTCTTATATATACGTTGATTTTTTATTTTTAACTTTACCGGAAGATTCGTGGTTAAGCAATTCTCTTTTATTTTGGTTGGCCATTAAAATTGTGAATTCAATAATGTTATGCAGGTGGAAGACAAACCAGCTTTGGATGTACCAATATCAGACATTTGCATAGCCACTTCGGCTGCTCCAACTTATTTTCCAGCTCACTACTTTACAAAGCAAGATGAACAAGGGAAAGTGATAAAAGAATTCAACCTCATCGATGGTGCCGTGGCAGCTAATAATCCGGTAAGATTCTTGAGAACGAAAGGGAGAAATTACATAAATAAGGTTTAGATACTAATATAAAGCATTGGATTCATTTGCAGACTTTGGTTGCGATTAGAGAAGTGATCAAGCAACTCATAAATAACCTAGATGGGACAAGTATTAACCCTTTGGACTATGATCGTTTTCTTGTCCTATCAATAGGGACTGGGTCAAACAAGAGTGAGCACAAATACAACGCTAAGATGGTGTCCAAATGGGGAATTATATCTTGGATCCTCAACTCTGGATCAACTCCCATTATAGATTGTTATAGTAAAGCAAGCACTGATATGGTTGACTATCACAACTGTGTTGCTTTTAGTGCGCTTCACTCTCAAGACAACTATCTCCGAATTCAAGTAAGTTACCCCTCGAGATTGCTTGTACAAAACCAATCTTTTAGACATGTTATTTAATTTTATTTTTTTTAAAATACAAACAAGCGGACGTTAAAAGAAATGCAAATGAATTCTTTACGATTAACAGTTGATATTGTCTTTGTTTATATGCATTAAAGAGAGAGCTTGCATCTCGAGTTCTCTCTCTATGCGGCACACGCAACTCATGCAAATGCATGGAGGGAATCTTGATAACACTTTGAGAACTGTGAATCCTAGATGAATGCTTGCACAACAATGTGGGCATTTGATGGCTGAGTTTTCATAAAAAATTGACGGCTAGAACTCGAAATTAATTTTCTCATTTTTTCATGAGAATATTTTCTCATATTATATATACAATAGATGAGTGGAGTTCAAAAAAAATGAAAAGATAAAAAAATTAAGATGGGACCCACTTTTAATTGTAAGTGTAATATAAAAAAAAAAATCATGTAAATGAGAAAATTATTTGCAATAATTTTTACATAATAAATTGGCATACTTATTGACTCGAATGAATATATTGCCCGTAACACTTTTCCCCATCAACAACCAAACTAAAACGTGTTGTCAAATTCGGCTCTAATTTTATTTTGAGCTGTAATTTTCTTATATTTAGAAAAATTACGGAGACAAATTTTGTATAAGGGTTCAGTACGATACATTGAATTGTTACAAAGAAAGGTTGATTCATGCAGGACGATACATTAAACGGGGATTTAGCTTCTGTGGATCTAGCTACCAAAGAGAATTTGGATAATCTGGTAGAAGTGGGTGAGCAGTTACTGAAGAAAACTGTTGCACGAATAAATCTAGATACGGGTCTGTATGAACCAGTTCAAGATAAAGGCACTAACGAGGAAGAACTCAAAAGGTTCATTTTATTTAATTATTTGGTAACAGTTCGAACGAACTAAAAAAACAATTAAAAAAAGGCTTCTACTCCTCCAATAAAAATTGATTTATGCTTGCAGGTTTGCGAAATCACTTTCGGAGGAAAGAAAACTAAGAAAGTCCAACTCACAAGATGGGAAGTAAATGATCACCAGATTGCTTTGTGGAAGCTCTTCATTGATTTATTGTAGCATTCATGAGTCATAGTCGAGTTTACTAAGCCACAACCAATATCATATGTGTTCCTTTCATTTCTGCAATGTATGTTGCCTTATTTTGTTACTTCGTGAAAGCCTAATACTGTTGTAACTAATTGGTAGTGGATATATATCCATATCAGGAAAGTCTGGAAAAAGGTTTCACAATATCTTTCCCTCCCTCTAGTTTCCCTCTTTGCCCCTGAATTCTTCTTCCCCTTCTCTCCTTTCTTCTCCCTTCCCCTGTTTCTCAATGCTCCCGCTACATTTACTTAATAATTCCTCTACGATTAAGATGCATTTGCAAGTGCAATGAGCCCCACGTGAAATTCATGTTCTGCACCTGATAGCGGTGCCTATGGTAGTCACTTGCTGCTGATTGATGCAATGAACCCCATGAGTGACAGCAGACAAGGACTGCACTAATCAGTTGCAAAAGTCAATAGTAAGTAACTATTTCTATCTAAGAATGCCTCAATCAAAAATACTGCATTTCAAACACAGAAAATTATATATTTTTCCGTCTTATCAACAAATAAAGGGGGTTTACCCTTTTATCAACATATAAAGATGCTCCGTACTAAATATACACATAACTATCTTTCATCACCCCAAGCTGCACCTCATTTTCTCCCCATAACAGTGAAAGAATATGTGTTAATTATTAAATACATCGACAGGAAAAGATTTTCATTGGGAAGGCTTCTTTTCCTCAACTCAGAGATAATATCAACAAAAATGAAAGAGTTCCTCCTTTGGCACGTACTTTTTTCTTCGTTGGGTAATTTCCAGCAAGAACTTTTTGATCTGGAACTGGAAGTAATTAAATCAATTGCATCTCAATAATAAAGTTTCTCCATGTGGGCTATCCACAAATATTAAATTTTGCATGTGTCAGCATTGAGTCGTCATAATCTCAGCCCCATCGGAGGTTATTAGAATGGTGTGTTCAAACTGTGCTGAAAGACTTCCATCTTCCGTTACTACTGTCCAATTGTCATTCCACATCACAGGATTGATGCTGCCCATAGTCAGCATTGGTTCTGTAAAATTTACCCGGTAAAGAAAAAGAAAATTATTATCATTAAAGAAAATTATTATCAATGATACAACAAAACCTACCATAGAGGATTTTTTTTGAAAGGTAGTTGATATGTGCATGACAAAATCACGACTGTCTCATCATAACCATGTCATGTGTTCATATATACATGTATTCCCATAACTTATGTTCAACCAGACATATAGGAATATATTTGTGCAGAATCATGAAAATGTTCAGCTACCATATTTTTCTAGCTATGCAAGGAAGGGAGTTTCAAGTGGGAAGGAAAAAAGAGAATTTCAAAGAAGGAAGAAATGATAAAGGACAATATTTTGCTGATTTTCAATTGTGACATTAGGAATGAGTATGAATTATACAATATTTTTTACATATTTAAATATTTTTCGACATACCTTGCCATACACATCTTAAATTTATTTGTAAAAAAAAGGTTGTATGTGATACTAGAAACCGTTCCATGCAACATAGATAAAGGGAAAAAGCATGCACAGCTTCCAGTTCCAAAAAGTAAATCATAAGCATGCGTTCATAGCAATCTATTGTACAAACTAAAATTACCAATCGTAAAGGTTTGATTTAGCATCATCCGTCCACCTTCATTGTTTCCTGAAGATAATAATAATTGACTAATTGTTACAAACAAGTTAGTGATTAGACATATTGACAGAAAAGAAATCATATATGATGGGCAATACAGTATTTTGGGGTTTGGAGAAGATTATATGCAAGGAATATGAAATGTTTTTAATAAAAAAAACAAGGGTCATGTCGTCATGATAAACAACCTTAGAAACACTAATAATCCATGACCAAACAAGTAGATTGATATTAAACAGCTAAATCACCTAAAATTTCCAGATAGATATGGAACATATGTGAAAATTAACAGGGATCTGTAACAACTCAAACGACAATTTCCAGAAAAGTATGTAAAACTGAAAATGACATTTGAATTCCAACTTCTGTAATCTGTTTTGTAATAACACTGAACCTGAATTTCGGATACAAATTGATACTCACAAAATGAACCTGAATTTCAGAGACAGATTAACATTCACAAATGAAAAATAAAAGAAAAATAAAAGATAGATTCAGAGGAGTTGGAGAGCCCTTGACAAAACCCCAGAATTCCGAATGGTCCCAAAAGATACCACACTCCTTGCCTCCTCCTCTCTTTATTCTCTCCCTTCTAACCGTTTTTCACATTCTCTTCACCTGATGGTGCGTCAGCAGTGTTCACATTCCCCTCACCCGATGGTGACTCGGCAGCCAGGTCAGCATTAAGTTTGTTAAGGGATTGTAATTCTCCTAAACGTTTCCTACGGTAAGCCATAAATTTAGGAGGAGTTGTAGCAAAACGATGGGTTTGTGGGGTGTAATAAACGGAAGGCGAGTTATAGTGCTGATTGATAGTGGTGCGTCACATAATTTCATCAAGACAGGTTTGGCTGAAGAGCTACAACTGGAGACTGAGGCTACGCCAGCATATCAAGTCGAAATTGGAAGTGGAGATCTTCTAAGGTGCAGTGGAGTGTGTAGGAGGGTAAAAAGTCAAATACAAGGGGTTGATATTTTACAGGATCTGTTCCTTTTCTGTTTGGGTGGGGATGATGTGATACTGGGTTTGGATTGGTTGAAGGATCTAGGCAACATAATAGCTAATTTTCGTGAGCTAACTCTTTGCTTCATACATGAAAGACAGAAGGTTGAATTCAGAGTTGAATCCAAGTTGTCCAGAAGTATGGCTTCGCTTAAGTCTACTGTGAAAGCTATTAAGGGTGAAGGAGAGGGGTACTATATGCAACCAAAGATCAAGAACAGCAACAACGAGGAAGGAAGGACAAGTTGATTGGGTAGCGCTGAAATTGCTATTGGAGGAGTATGCCTATGTCTTTGCCACACCAACTGGGACCAAAGAGGAGTCGTGATCATGCTATCGTTCTCAAGCCGGGCAGCTAAGTCCCAAATATTAGGCCTTACAGCTAAGTCCCATTTTATCATAAAGAAGAAATTGAGAAAAATATTCTTGAGTTATTGAACTCTGGTTTTATCAGACCAAGCGTGAGCCCTTATTCAACTCCTGTGATTCTGGTTAAAAAGAAAGATAATAGTTGGAGTGTGTGCATTGATTATAGGACGTTAAATAAAATTTTAGTGCCTGATAAGTTCCCAATGCCCATAATTGATGAGTTGATAGATGAAATTAGAGTCTCTTGCCTCTTCTCGAAATTAGATCTGAAATCTAGATTTCACCAAATCCGTATGAAGGAAGTTGACATAGAAAAGCCCCCTCGACGTTTCAAGCTTTAATGAACGAGGTCCTGAAGTCTTTCCTTCGAAAGTTTGCTTTGGTTTTCTTAGATGAGATATTGTTATATAGTAAAACCAGCGATGACCATCTTCAACACTTGCGAATAATGCTAGAAACGTTGAGGAGCCAATAGCTATATGCCAATAGAAAGAAGTGCATTTTCGGACAGACACAAATTGAATATTTGGGGCATCTAATCAGCCCTGAAAGGAGTTGCTGCAGACCCACCTAAGACAGCAACAATGCGAGAATGGCCCACTCCTAAGGATGTGAAAGGGCTGAAAGGGTTTCTTGGCTTGACTGGATACTATAAAAAGTTTGTCCAAGGTTATGGAATGCTGGCCAAACCGCTAACTGACCTGCTGAAAAAAGACTCTTTTCATTGGAATGATGATGCCCGGGCTACTTTTGAACATCTTAAAACAACCATGTGTGATCTGGCCCACATTAGCCCTCCCTAATTTCAACAAGCAATTCACTGTAGTGACTGATGCTTCAAGAAAAGGGATTGGGGTTGTGTTAATGCAAGGTGGCAGAGCCGTGCGTTTATTAGTCAGGGGTTTTCACCAAGAGCCCAAGGGAAATCGGTTTATGAAAAGGAATTAATGGCACTTGTCTTTGCTGTCCAAAAATGGAGACATTACCTCATGGGGTGGCAACTTGTTATCAAAACCGATCAAAAAAGCCTGAAATACTTAATGGACCAAAGGGTATTGGGGGAGGATCAACAAAGGTCGAAATCCAAGCTTTCAGGATTTGATTTTGAAGTGCAATACCAGCCAGGCCGTGAGAATGACATGGTTGATGCTTTCTCGCGAAGAATGCAATATTTTTCCACTTCAATGGTCACATTACCACTGATAGAACAGATTGAGGAAGAGCAGCAAACCAGATCCTTATTTGAGGCAAATTATACTCGATTTGTGGAATAATCCAGAAAGCCATCAAGGATTTCAAGTGCAAAGGGGAAAATTGTTGTTTAAAGATAGGTTGGTGATTCCTAAAAATTCTAAATTGATTGCTGTCCTCCTACAAGAATGTCATGACACCCCTATTGGAGGGCACTCTGGGTTTTTTAGAACCTTCAAAAGGATCTCTAATTTGATCTATTGGGAAGGAATGAGGAAAACTATTCAAGCTTATGTCTCCTAATGTGCAGTTTGCCAACAAAGTAAAGCCTCCAATTTGACACCAACAGGGCTGCTGCAGCCCCTCCCAATTCCAAATCAGGTATGAGCAGATATGTCTTTAGATTTTGTTGAGGGATTGCCTAAAGCTTGTGGAGTTGATACAGTTCTGGTGGTAGTGGACAGGTTATCAAAATATACCCATTTTTTGCCACTTTGTCACCCATATAGTGCTCAAGAAGTGGCATTGCTTTTTATTAAAAATGTTAAATTGCATGGCTTCCCACAGACTGTTGTATCGGAGAGGGATAAGATATTCCTTAGTCATTTTTGGTCAGAGCTTTTTAAACAAGCTGGAACATCTTTGCGGTTTAGTACTGCTTATCACCCCCAATCCAACGGGCAAATGGAGATTGTTAATAAATGTTTAGAAACTTATCTCCAGTTCTTTTGCCATCCTCAGCCTAAGCAATGGCCTCATTGGCTGCATCGAGCGAAATACTGATATAATAACATGTATAAAGCGTCTACTGGAATTACCCCATTTAAGGCTTTATATGGGACTGATCTCACATCTCTATTTCGGGTGGGGCATGGTACTAAGGTGGTGGAAATGGAAAAAATGCTATAGGACAGGGATATTATTTTACAAGAGTTACAACAACATCTTACTAAGGCTCAAAACCGTATGAAGGTCCAAGCTGATAAACATAGAAGGAATGTCGAATTGGAGATCAATGATATGGTTTATTTTAGGATTCAGCCCTATAGACTGAAGACACTTGCTAGGTGCATTATTGAGAAGCTCAGTTCCCAATATTATGGCCCTTACAAGGTAGTAGAAAAGGTGGGAGCAGCAGTGTATAAACTGCATTTACCTACCAGCTATCTTCTACAACCTGTTTTTCACATATCGCTGTTGAAGAAGGCAATTTATGTTTCTGATCATATCCAGCCTTTACCACCAATGCTTACAGCAGAATTTGAGTTACAAGTAACACCATCTCAGGTCTTTCAATGGAGGAAAACAGTTGCAGGTTCAGTGGAGGTTCTGATCCGTTGGAAAAGCTTTTTCCCTTTTGAAGATTTGTGGGAAGGTTCTTATTCTCTGCATCAGCAATTTCCTTCATTTAACCTTGAGGACAAGGTGCTTAAATTGGGAGGGAGTATTGATACAACTCCTCCTAAAAGAGCCGGCACATTTCCTCCTACCCCCTCAACTGCCCAAGCCCAATTCCTGCTCTCTATACGTTGGGCTTTCCTCATCAATATTGGCAAGGTGTCTAAGGGTTGCATTAGAAGCACCTCACGTATGCAATTCGACAACCCAATCAACCAGATTCCATGAAGAACTTCATCATCAACATACTGCAAGGTCCCACTAATCCTCTCGAAGTCGCGCTGATAATCCTGCACAGTCCCGTTTGATGCAAACTCAGCAGCTCACGTAAAGGATTCCCTTCCAATTCCAGTTGGAACCTACTCAACAACTCTGTATGAAAAGACCCCTAAGTAGCATGAGCGGTGTTCCTCTCCCACCATTGGTACCAATGGAGGGCTTCCCCTTCTAGAACGACCATCACAACCCTCAGCTTCTCCCTACCGTTCAGACGATTCACCTCAAAATATCTATTAATACGGTTCAACCAATCGTATACATTCTCGCTGGAAAATGTTAGAAGTTCAAGCCTTCTCCCAAATTTCTCTCCTCGGTGTACTCCATTCTGCTCTCCATCAACGGAATTTGGGGAGTCTCTACTCATACCCTCCTCTCGACCTCCGCATGATCGACTTAGGGAGCTCATTCCTCTCTAAGTTCTTGAAGAGATCTAAGCATGTCTGCTAATCCCACTTCGACACGCTAGACTCCCTCCTCCGTTCTACCTATCCTTGCCTCCATTGCTTCCATTTGATGATCCATAGTTCTAGTCAAAACCATTCAGCACTCCCAGGAAAAAAAAGCTTTGATACCAATTGTAACATCTCAAACGACAATTTCGAAAAAAGTATGTAAAACTGAAAATGACATTTTAATTCCAACTTCTGTAATCTGTTTTGTAATAACAATGAACCTGAATTTCGGATACAAATTGATACTCACAAAATGAAACTGAATTTCAGAGACAGATTAACATTCACAAATGGAAAATAAAAGGAAAATTAAAGATAGATTCAAAGGAGTAGGAGAGCCCTTGATCTCTCCCAAAAGCCCAGAATTCCAAATGGTCCCAAAAGATACCATGCTCCTGGCCTCCTTCTCTCTTTATTCTCTCCCTTCTAACCGTTTCTCACATTCCCTTCATCTGATGGTGCGTCAGCAGTGTTCACATTCCCCTCACCCGATGGTGACTCAGCAGCCAGGTCAGCAGTAAGTTTGTTAAGGGATTGTAATTCTCTTAAATGTTTCCTTCGGTAAGCCATAAATTTAGGAGGAGTTGTATCAGGACCTTATTCTGTTTTTCCATTTTCGCATATTGTTTTAGAGATGGAAGAAACCTTGAACATAAAAAATTTAGTGGTTAAATTTTATAGATTAATAACTTTTCCGTAGTCAAAGAAATGGTATTGCTTCCAAAACTCTGACTTGATCAATTCATTAATCAACTTGTAAAATATTAATGATTATCATTTTCAAAATTAACAGACTCACACACACTCTGAATTTATTATTCCGTAAGCCATAAAAGTATTTACTAAACTCAGCACAGGTTAGCTAGTAAAGAATTGATGTAAAGCTAATAATAACAGAAGTACAAAGTTAAAGTTCATTACTATAGTGAAGAATAACTGGATCAGCATGAAAAACACGTCCAACTCCATGGCCAACAAACTGTTGGACAACACCATAACGATATTTATCTGCATGATCCCTTCGGGGAAAAAAAAATCAAATATGAAATCATTATATAATCAAGAATCAAAATTAATTTAAACCACAGTCATCAATTACTAATACATGTTAACAAAGACTAAGGTACTTGCTTAGATACTGCTTTGTTTCCTTTTAAATTCTTTTTTTTTAATTATTCTACCCCTCTTTGAAAGGACATGTTAAGGCCAGAGGGAACCATGAATAGAAGAAGTAAGCCTCTCTTCTGGTTTTCTTGCACAAAGAATTTTTCTATTTAAGATCTTATAAATGACATGGAGAAACTATGAGTGTGAAGTCGATTTGTTGAGGTTGATTATTGTGGGTACCATAGGAGAGTTTGTGTGAAATAGCAATACTCATCTTGAAGATTGGGGCTAAGTGGGTCATCCTGCAGAAAAAATCTTACATACTCCAAGAGTAATATTCACAATGGTCGAAATTTGATCCAATTTTTATTGTAAAATGTTTTGAATTTAAACCAATGGCATCCTTAAATAATTAAAACCATGGTGGGGAAGAATATTTTTTAAAAGAAAAATTATAATTTAAAGGATAAAAACTGACATTTTTTATTTATCAAGAGAAATTAAAAATAAGTGTATTTACAGGAAATAAAAAACATATTTGAGGGGGGTAAACCTTGCACTTTTGGAGTCTAAAAATGTTCATGGCTCGTTAAAATGTATAAAGCTAAGGGTCATGTGTCAAAAGCAATGCAATTACCATTCTATACATGATTTAATTCTCAGAGGGTTTCTGGCTTTTCCCCAGTATAGGGAAAAAACAGCTACCAGAGAGAGTACAAATGATAAAACATCTTACTGAATTGTTTTGCCAATTTTCTTGAATTCCACTCCTGGTGCACATATTGATATTGCTTTATCCAGGCATTCTTTAGTTACCTGTGTTAATATATAAACCCACTCCTTTAAGCACAACACATATGACTAGGACAATATCTCAATTTTCAACAACAAAAACTCTTAACAAAATCAAAGCCACATAAGACACTTCTGGAACAGTATCTCAACTAGAAGCATAACGAAAATAAGGGATAAAGCAAAATACAAATAAAATTCAATATAGTTCACAAAAGGTTAGATAACGAATTTTATGGGGCATAACACTTGCAGGAACAAGTGGTACATCTCCAGTTGATCAGTAATAAAAGGTCATAAACGAATAGCATCGGATATTCTTCCTTGTGCATCCTGAGAATAAAATACAAAATTTAATACCATGGTATATTCTACTGGATAGAATAACATGTTGATACTTTTAGCAACTGCCTTGCTATGACCAGTATTAATTTCAATGCCATCTAATCCAGAAAAGTAGCTTTCTTTCTCTCCTAAAATTAAAAACTTAAAATAATAGTGAGAGCTGCATCTAGCAGGGGTTCTTCAGCTTTTTATTTTACTTCTAAAGTGAATATAAGAACATTTCCTTTCTTAGTACAGCATCTAAAATTCAAAAAAAAAATACCTTAGTCCTTAGATAACCAATTGACTCCATATCACTCGGTCAATAACAATAATTCATCAGTTGTTAATGCCTAAGGAATTAAAACCATTCTTTTTAAAAGGAATGTCAATGCATGAAACAATAAACTTTCCACACTAAGTAATCCAAAACCCAAAATTGAAATTCCTACCCAACCAACATCACTAAAGTTGAAGCAAGCAAGCTTAACCTTGTGTTGCTTTTCATATGCCATAAGTCATTAATAGCAAATTTAGTGCAGTTAGAAAGGCATTTCCCTCTTGGGAAATAATAGGAAGATTGTACCCAAAAAAATATAGAAAGAAAGAAATGATTGAAAAGCTACATTATAACGAGAAACGGATTAAAATGCAGAATTAACAAAGAGTGCATGGAAGTACGGAAGGAAGACCAAAAAGCACCAAATCACAGCCTGTCATGAACATAAATTGGTACCTGAACTAGTTTTATGGCCTCATCATCAACATCACCACAAAAGAAAGTTGCTGATGTGTCACCATGATAGCCCTATAACTCATCATATATTCATTCATCAAATTAATTGCTACAATTTTACAAATATCAAAAGATGCAATTGCAAAACAAATAAGAATGGGGAGAACTAATCTTAATGCAGCATGCTCAAGCAATAAGATGCTGGACGAATTTAATTTCAGCCAAAAATTGATACAGGACCAAGTAAAAAAAATAAAAGAGAATATGCCAGTACAATAAATAATTTATAGTCTGCATCTCCTCCAACAATACAGCAGAGGAAATAAACATCATAAACTGAAAGTTTATGTTGATAATATCAACAAGATGGCTGAATAAAAAAATATTTGTAATGGGACCATGCAAAGTACATAATAAATGAAATTCCAAGGCTCCCAAAAAAAAAGCTCACATTTAGATAAACAGTAACATCAATGTTGATTATATCACCATCCTGCAAAAAAATTAAAAAAAAATGTGTCAACAATTTTTTCACACAGGATATCTAATTTCAAAAGAACTTGAATAGAAGGACCTCAAGCACACGGGAATCTGGTATTCCATGGCAAATGCATTCATTCACGGATGTGCAGACACTCTTTGGAAAACCACCATAGCCAAGAGGAGATGGGTACGCACCATTATCAACTATCATTTGGTGAACTGCTTGGTCAATTTCATCTGTTGTTATGCCTGCCTGTCAACACAACTTTTTCTTTTTAAATAAAAACATACCAATCAGTGTAATTCTGTAATTTTATTAACATTTCATAAATTTTATAAATTCTACTCTTCAAAAAATATATGGTTGCCATGTCCTGCACCAGCCAACAATAAAAACCAGGAGTGTTTCTGATATGAACCCAAAATTGTATTATAACGAAATAGAGATAAACCCCAAGTACAATGGATCAAATCACTGAAAACAAGGACTGAATAATACGAAACTCGAGGGTCTGCAACCTCCCTGCCCAGGGCTTTCGAGAAGTATCTGGTCTCTCCCAACTCCCAATTTCTGACCACTCAATAGTCTGCCTAATGACATACCCTTCTCTCCCATTTATAAGAAATTCCTGATAAATACAGGATCTTGATATCCATAATTAATTGGAATGTGATCCCCTACACCCCTCTCCCTGCACTAAAGGAGGTTTCCTAACAGTTTATCAGCTAATTTGGACTTATAATCCTCAGAATTCGAGCCAAAAACAAAGTCAGGGGACAGGAAGGACACTAAATCATCCTCTAAGTATTAATAAATTGCTTGTTTTACATCATAATAAGCAGCCAATATTTTAAATACGAGATATACAACAAAAAAATGTGCGGTTGACTGGCCAAAAATAAGAAAAGAACTCACCTTGACTAAGGTGCCAGCATATTGAAGAACCTGTGCTGCAAGCCTTCCAGAAGCTCTCATGCATTCTATCCCTTTCTCATCATGCACTTCAGGTCCACTCGAAAGTCCTGCTGGAATCATAGATTTCACATATGGAGGCCTTGGTATGTTCTTTGGCACTTGCCGACGTGGAGAAACTTTCCCAGGTCTCAGACGTTTGCGCTTGCTGTTAGACAAGTCATCTACATTTCTGCAAAAAGGGTGCATTTTGAATCCAACAAAGACCCCTTAAATTCTTGGAGCAACGAAGTTCCACATGGATAAGTAAAACAGAATGAGGCATGTGTTAGTTACATTCTGTTACGCTTTCCCGCTTTTAGCTTCTCTCTTTTCCTTTCTTACGATGGTTGTATAAATACTTGAAGGATGAATGAATGTGAATCAGAGTTCTCAGAATGAATATTTCTTTTGTGAAACTTAAGATGGTATCAGAGCCCTAAATTGGGGCTCTGGTATCGCAGTGAGAGAAAAAAAAATTTTGATTTGTCTTCTACAATGGCAGATACTGATTCCGCCGATGCTTCCGCTACCGTGACGCAACCACCGTCAGCGGTTCAACAATCCATGGCACCTCCGATAGTGCCTGATTACTATACGAATCCTTCTCATCCATTTTTTCTGCATCCAAATGAATCACCGTCCACAGTTTTGGTTCCTCAATTGCTTAATGGCAACAATTATCATACGTGGGATAGAGCTATGAATGTTGCGCTCATTTCAAATAACAAGATAGGATTCATTGATGGCAGCATAGATCCACCATTGGAGACCGATCCTTCCTATTTTGCTTGGCAGAGATGCAATAATATGGTAAATGCATGGATCCATCGTTCAATTTCGCAATCGATTGTTCAGTCAATCATATGGATCGAAAAGGCTCGAGACGTATGGGTTGATCTTTGTAACAGATTTTCTCGTTCTGACATATTTCGGATCTCTGATCTTCAAGAGGAGATCTATCGTTTGAAGCAAGGAGATAAAGGTGTCACAGAGTATTTCACTGAATTGAAAACTCTATTTGATGCATTGGATAATTTGAAGCCTTTGCCAATTTGCAGTTGTGCAATCAAATGTTCATGTGGTGAATACATAAAAATGAAAGAGTATCGTGAACGAGATCACATCATACGATTCCTCAAAGGATTAAATGAACAGTATTCACAAGTCAGATCTCAAATAATGTTGCTTAAACCTCTTCCTGATGTCACTCAAGTTTTTTCCATGGTGGCTCAACAGGAGCGTCAATTTCAGGGTGAAGGTCGTGTAGGTAATCCGATAAACAATCAATCTTTTGCTGCTTTTTCTGATACTGCTTCTTTTCGAAGGAATCATGGTGCTAGAGGATTTAGAGGGAGAGGCAGAGCTCCTTTCAACAATTATGACAGTGGTCGTACTCAACTTACAAAGGTTTGCACTCATTGTGGTAGATTTAACCACACTGTGGAAACTTGTTTCCAGCTTCACGGTTTTCCACAAGGTTACAAGCCACGAAATGCTGCTCCTCATACTACCAATAGTGTGATACAACACACTCCTGATGTTTTGGCTAGCAAGTTCGATTCACCTTCCACTGTTACACTTTCTGGTGATCAATATCAACATATTCTAAGTTTACTCGAGAAGAATACTATAGCTTCCAATATTGCTCCTTCTGTCAGTCATGCCACAAATTTCACTCAAGTATCCAATCTTAACACTGAGTTGATGACACAACCAGGTAACATATGTATGCATTGGATTTTAGATACTGGTGCTACAGATCATGTGACATATTTGAGATCTCAGTTTACACAATTGACAAAAATTCAACCTATTTCCATGCACCTGCCTAATGGAACCACAGTTCTTGCAGAATACTCAGGAACAGTTCATGTTTCACCTACTCTCATCTTACTTGATGTTCTCTATGTACCAAAGTTTAAAGTTAATCTCATTTCTGTTACAAAACTGTTAGTTACCATTCCATGTTCCCTAATTTTTCGTGCCTCTTTCTGCCTTATACAACAGCTTCATACCTAAATGAAGATTGGTATTGCTGAGCAACGAAATGGGCTATATGTGGTCATGGGAAAGAATGTCAAAGGGACTTGCTCGATGGAGAACATTAGTAGTACTAGAGATACTCAAATCTGTAATGTGCACAAACAGGATTTAGTCCTTTGGCACAAAAGGCTTGGACATATTCCACATGCTGTAATGAAGCAAATGTCTATTAGATTTCCTTTCATTTCGGGTGATTGTTTGCACCCTTGTGATACTTGTCATTTGGCAAAACAGAAACCGTTGCCATTTCCTATTTCAGAAACAAAAACATTGCATAGTTTTCAGCTTATCCATGTTGATATCTGGGGCCTTTTTGCCACTGCTTCTCTTGAGGGTTATAGGTATTTTTTGACCATAGTTGATGATTACTCAAAATTTACTTGGGTAATGCTAATGAAAGTAAAATCTGAAGTTGGTCTTCATATACAGAATTTTGTAGCTTTTGTTGAAACTCAATTCAAAACTACCATTACTGTCATTCGAAGTGATAATGGCAGAGAATTTTTCATGGCTGATTTTTATGCACGAAAGGGCATTATTCATCAATGTAGTTGTGTGGAATGTCCTCAACAGAATGGTACAGTAGAGAGGAAACATCAACATATCCTGAATGTGGCTCGAGCCCTCCTTTTTCAGTCCAACTTACCAATTTCTCTTTGGAGTTATGTCATAACACATGCAGTTCATCTTATTAACCGTACCTCAACTCCCATTTTGGACCACAAAACACCCTATGAGATTCTTTTTAATCAACCTCCAACCTTTCTTCATTTGAAAGTTTTTGGATGTCTTGCTTTTGCTTCCACCCTTCATGCCCATCGTTCCAAATTCTCACACAAGGCTCGAAAATCTGTATATTTGGGACATAAAGTTGGTGTCAAGGGTTCTGTTTTGTATGACCTTTTGTCTAGAGAAATTTTTTTGTCAAGAAATGTCATTTTTTATGAAAGTCATTTTCCATTTCTTGAAGACACGGCTTTTTCTCCCAATTCCCAACCTTCTCTTTCTGATACACCTACCTTTTCTGTCATACCCGAACCATCTTTTGACATTGATCAATATTTCTTTCCTCCCAATTCCTTCTCTTCCAATCCTACCTTCAGTCATTTCCTCCTCTCTACCTGAAGACACACTACATAATACTTTTGATCATGTTACAAACAATGAGCATGCCATAATTGATATTGCAGCTTCTTTACCCACTGTTATTGAGGATCATATACAACAGATTGCAGATAATGATTCTTCTCAGTTCCCACAGCCTCGAAGATCTACCAGGATAAGAGCACCTCCTAGATATCTTGACCAGTATCACTATAGTCCAATCACTACTCAGCATACCAATTTTTGTGAGGGTAAGTCCATTTCCATACCATTCAAGCATTCCATTTTCAATGTTCTTTCATATGTCAATTGTTCTTCTCAATATTCACATTTTTGTCACAATATCTCTACTAATGATGAACCTAGTTGTTACTCCCAAGTTGTTAAATCAATTCATTGGAGGAAAGCAATGGAAGCAGAACTTCAAGCCTTGGAATTAAATCATACCTGGAGCTTTGTTGATCTTCCACCCGATAAACAGCCAATTCAATGTAAATGGGTTTACAAAATAAAGTACAACTCCAATGGCACCATTGAACGTTACAAGGCCAGATTAGTTGCCAAGGGATTCACACAATTAGAAGGAGTGGACTTCTTTGATACGTTTAGTCCAGTAGCCAGATTATCTTCTGTTCGAATCCTTTTGTCCATTGCAGCTGCCAAAGGCTGGTTCATTCATCAATTGGATGTGAACAATGCTTTCCTACATGGGGATCTTCTTGAAGAAATTTACATGTTGCCTCCACCAGGTTCAGTTCTTCCTAAACAAGGGCAAGTATGTCGTCTTCAAAAATCCATTTATGGATTAAGACAAGCCAGTCGACAGTGGCATGCAAAACTATCTACCTTCCTTATTTCTATAGGGTAAACTCAAGCACATTCTGATCACTTCCTTTTCATTTTACATCAGAATCATGCTTTCACTGCCTTACTGGTTTACGTTGATGATATCCTCATTTGTGGAAATGATTTTTTTGAGATTACACGAGTCAAAAGTTTACTTGATGCCAAATTTAGCATCAAAGATTTGGGTGAATTGCGTTACTTTCTTGGCTTGGAAATTGCTCGATCATCAAAGGGCATAGTTTTAAATCAACGTAAATATGTGCTGGATATTATTAAGGATTCTGGTCTTCTTGAAGGAAAATATGTTTCATCACCAATGGAGGCATGTGTCAAACTCCAAAGCAATCAAGGAACTCCTCTTCCTTATCATTTTCCTTATAGAAGGCTTGTTGGTCGATTGTTATACCTTACCAACACTCACCCCGACATCTGTTTTGCTGTTCAGAATCTTAGTCAATTCATTTCTGCTCCTACAACTACTCATATGGCTACTGCTAAAAGAGTTGTTCGCTACCTCAAACAAGCACCTGGTACTGGCTTATTTTTCCCAGCAGAAAACGACCTCCGTGTGCAAGCTTTTGCAGATTCAGACTGGGCTACATGTCCAGAGAGCAGCAAATCAGTAACCGATTTTTGTGTTTACATTGGACCCTCTTTGGTAACTTGGCGTACAAAGAAGCAATCTACTGTTAGTCGATCCTCCACTGAAGCCGAGTATCGTGCCCTTGCCAGTCTCTCCTGCGAAATCCAGTGGCTTCAATATTTCTTTCAAGATCTTCATCTGCCATGGCCCAAACCGGCTTCTATATATTATGATAGTCAATCTGCCATCCATCTTGCACATAATCCCATGTTTCATGAAAGGTCCAAACATATTGAGATTGATTGCCATGTTACTCGCAGCAAAATTCAGTCGGGTCTCCTTCGTCTTTTTCCTATTGGCACTTCTCATCAACTTGCTGATACATTCACCAAGCCATTGGGTCGTGATGCTTTCTCTGTTGCTGTATCCAAGCTGGGAATGTTTGATATACATCGTCCAGCTTGTGGGGGGTCTTGGAGCAACTTAGTTCCACATCAGAAAAGGAACAATTTAATTCATCTAACTGTAATGTTAAGATTATGACACGTGAATAAGTAAAACAGAATGAGGCATGTGTTAGTTACATTCTGTTACGCTTTCCCGCTTTTAGCTTCTCTCTTTTCCTTTCTTACTATGGTTGTATAAATACTTGAAGGATGAATGAATGTGAATCAGAGTTCTCAGAATGAACATTTCTTTTGTGAAACTTAAGATAAATCAAGATTTCAATCTTAATTGACTAGCATTAGATGCTATTGAAAAACAAAAAGAAAAAAGTAGTGCTACTAACTTTTGAAATAACCAACGCGATATCAGAAAATGGATTCCTTAAGCACTGATTCTCTGTAATTGTGTAGTTTACCTTCTATTAAATAAGAGATTGGTCAAGCCAGAAAGTGTCCGAGATAACTGCATCGAAACATGCTTGCTTCCTGTCACAAAAATAAATATACAACAATAATTTTGAAAAAAAGAAAAACAAATTATACAAGCGAATCAAAACGGGGGGGAGGGGGGGGGGAATCGAAGAAACTCGAAAATGAAAAACAAAGGGATGAGAAAAAAGAAGAACCTGGATTGTAAAGGAATAGTTGAGGAAGAGGCTGGTGCCTTGAGGAGCGTAGGAGGCGACATCCCATGAAAGAAGAGTTGAACCTCAGTTGCAGTTGCAGTGACATTTTCCTCTTCTCTTCTCTTCTTGCTTCTCTCCGATGTTTATGTTAAATTGTTATCCACTCATGTATGACTGTACGAGTTCGGTCCCTTGAAATTTCTCTCTTTTCCCAATTTTCTTCATCATTGGTCCTAAAACAAAATCAGGGCCCGGCCCTAAAGCCTCGTCAATCTTTCCATATAAGCCCAACTCTTTAGAGATTGGCCCATACTTGCAAAACGTAAAACGGAAAGTTTTTCTAACTTTCTCCAAAGCAACCATTTCAAAAAAAAAAAAAAAAAAAAAAGCGCTTGGATTATGGAATGTTTTTTTTTTTTTTTTACTTTCTATTGAAAAGAAATCAAAGTCTAATTATTTTTAATAAATTTAAAAGTATACAGAACTTGTTATAAAAGTGTACATTAATAAAATGGCATAAAAGAGCTTTCTATTATGTATTAATAAATTATTTTTTAAATTTTAATTTTACAAGTTCTAATAATTTGAATAAGTTCTAATGATGAAAATACGATAAATCTGCAACACATTGATCTATCCCTTTCACATCACTTTTCATTCTTTACTGTGAACTCCTTATGGATTTTACCAAGTCCCACCCGTAGAGGATCCTTAATTTAAAAAATAAATAAAGCAATAATATTAGTCAAAAGTGTTTGTCATTTTAAATGACAGAAAGTTATGTCATTTTAAGAGAGATACAGACACAGAAAACTTTTTCTCTCCCATGATTTCTGTTTTTCTGTGTCTATCTCTCTCCTAAAATGACATAACTTATGTCATTTAAAATGACAAACACCAAACCCATAATATTATATCTTTATTTAAATAGTGCTATGTTTATATTCTATTTATACGAACGACATCAGTATAAGATGCATCAAAAATTTTATAAATTATATATATATATATATATATATATATATATATATATATATAAAAGATATATAGCAGTAAAAAATATCTTGGTTGGTATATGGTATCTTTAAGAAAAACTTATCAAAATGTAATTAAAGTTGAGTTAGAAATTTTTTTTACAAATCTACTAGAAAAGTTAAATTATTTTATAAAAAATATTTTTATTGATATTTTTACTACATATATAAAATAAAAAATATACATTCAAGACCGATAAATGTTAAATAACTTTTAAAAAATAAAATAATATTTTAATACAAATTTACTGGAAATAGGACTATACCTTAGGGGGACATTTGGTAGAGGGAAAAAAATTATCCGGGAATTATGATTTCTAGGAATATGGTGGAAAAATGAGTTTTTCGATAATGTTACCAAAAAATTATTTAGTAAGACAAAATATTTTCAGAAATATTGAATTAATTTTCTTAATGTTATGTTTGATTGTATTAAATTTTCTCTTGCCATGAAAATTTTAGAATACCATCCCCTTGATGGAGATAAATATGATTATCATCTTTGGTTTTCGAGAATTTTAAAAAAATTCTTCTACCAAACGCGCTGTAAAGTAAATTCCCCGTATAAAATACCAAGTTACTAAACATATAGTGAGACACGTTTCCATCTTTCTGTGCTGTTAATGTTATAATATGACAATGAATCTGCATTGTATTTTGAGTTTTTAAAACGACAATGATTAAAAAGTTGTTCATGCAAAAAGCCTGCTCGTGCATGCCGATACACACGAGAACAACTTGCATTTTGCTGTATAAAATATTTCACTTAATTAGAGGATGTATCTCAAACTTATTGCAGTAATGTCGTTTAGTGGCTTCACGCTCCAAAAAACGTCGTTTAGTTGTTTTCCTGTAGTTTATATTATTATTTTATAATGACAATCACCCTATAAAATTACCTACCACCTCATGGCATATTTGGATGATGTTTTAAACATCTTAAATTTTGTAAGTTTGAAGGTATGCAAAAAATTGAAAATTCTTATATTAGTTACTAATATTACTAGAATAAAAATTGTAAAAAAAAAAATATTTAATAGACCTAAATATAAATATTTTTTTCATATTTCTTTCTCGTGACATAGAATTAGCACAACATCGGCAAATCACATTCATTGTTGGCACGAAGACAATTTGCCAGAGAAAAGGAAAGGATAAAGGATAAAATTCTTAGTATGAAATTGTACTCGTCAAATGAGTAGCATTATTGCATGGCATGGCAACGCTAAACGACAATGTTCGGAAGATCAAAATTGTGCTGATGCTAACTGTCAGTTAAGCAAACTTCGACACGTAGGTCCCCCGCCCAAAATGCGGCCAAGGCCATACAACGACGACTAGTCGTTTTCCCAATCCCTTCATTTCTTTTGGTGGCGACAAATTTTGGAATCCGATGCAACTTTGATGCTTTGGGTCAGTCTCACTGAAAGTGAGCTTTTTTTTCATTTATACCTGGCCCATTTTGTGGGGCCCATGGACCCATTCAACTTGGGATAGGTCCCGTTATGTTTGTCCATATCGAACTGTTCATTTTCTCTTCACTTCACTGTTTTTTTTTCCTTCTAAATATTTTGAATAAATTTATTTCGTTAATTAGTTTAGAAAATGATGAATAGATCAATACCCTTTCCGGGTTTTCTACTTTTCTTTCCTATTACAGCATTGGAAGGTCCACCCCACGCGTTGGAAGGTGAGAAGCGTCTTATAACTTGCAGTCTGAGGGCACTTTAAAATGTTTATAATCTGATCTATCTGTTTCTTTTTTCTTCTTCTTTAATTTTTCTCTTTCCATGAATTTTTATTCCCTATTTAAACAAGCTGTTAAGTTATTACTCCTAATTGTATCTCGTAAATGCCCATAGGTACTTTCATGAAATGCAACAAATCTGGCCGAGTGACTTTCTGATGTTCACATATCACGATCACAACTAGTATAATATAATTATTTAAAGAAAGTATCATTAAAATATATATAAATTCATAATGAATTTTAAGGTTTTATATATACTATTTATTTCCTTTAAGCATATTATTTATTATTTTTATCTCTTGATTTTATTATTAAATAATATGATAGAAAAATATAATAAAACAGTTAAGGGTGAGAGATGTATTCGATCTTCTCTAATATTATTTTTGAAAAGAATTTAAAATCTTAATCTCGAAACTCATCCCAAATCAAATTAGTCGCAATTCACGAAGAGATGAATCAGTTGAACTATTTAATATATATATATATATATATATATATATATATAGAGTTAAAATGATAGAAAAGTCATTAAAGAAAGAAAGAAATGAAGATGGAGAGGGCTGGGACCAAATATGCGAGTCAGCAACTACAGGTGCAGCAGGGTGTTGGATTGCGTAATTTGTGTTTTGAACCTTCTATCGTTAGCGTCTAGCTGCCTTTATCAGCACGCACTTGCAACCTGCAATCAATGTGCTTTTGGCTGCGAGTGCACAAAAGTCCACGCACCCATCCTCCTGGTCCCGAGTCATCCCATTTAGTATCTACTGCAATTTGTAGCCGTCACAGCACATTCTCACTAATTGTATCTTGGTAATTTTTTTCAACAAAAAATTAAAATTTAACTCAATTTTTAATATTTTAAAAATAAATTAATTCTAAGTTCTAACACACACTTAAACATATTATTAAGTAGTAAATATGAGATGGATAACATAACATGTAGTTGCTTTTCAAGTATTTAAGTTTTTCTAGTCAAAAAATACTTGTATATACCTTTTTTTTGTGCGAACGAGGGAAAATTATGAATTTTTTTCCTTTTTTTTATAATTTGTTGCTCATGAAATGCACGTGTAATCTGATTGCTTGTACCCTGGCAAGTTCAGAGCTTGCATACATAAAGACAAGTCACTATGTTTTATGCATTTCGGAGAGAGATTGCTTCAAAAAACTTAAGAAAATAAATCATAAAAGTGGATCTGAAAATATATCTTAATTTAGTATCTGAAAATATTATTCTGACTATTATTTTAGTGTAGTTTTTGTTTGCACACGTATACACTTAAAATTTATATTTAAATTTCCGACAATTTGAGTTACTACAATGAGGAATACTTCATCACTGCACTTTGTGTTATTTTATTTATTTAATTAGCTCCAAATAAACCACCCGAAAATACCAAGTATAACGATTTAAGCCCTTTGAAGACCCGGCAGAATGCTGATGGTACTGAGGGTGAGGGGTTACACCCAACTAACTTTTTAGATGTTCCTTCTTCGTCCCAGTTCGTTTCACTTGCCAAGTTATAAGACTAAGACTGCTTTGGCTTTTCTCCATCTTTCTATTTTTCTTTTCAATGTTTTAGATCTTGGACCACTCCGTGTAAATAAAGCCCTTCGTGGTTGTGGAGCACTGCACCGGCATGTGCTAGCTATTGAAAGTGTATGTGATCCATCTACCAAGTACCAACATTAAAGGATATGGAAAGGTCTAGTATTGTATACTACATCAGGGTGGATTGAAATCTTCTATCTTCTTTTCTATTCTCATTCTTATAACTTTATTTAAATGATAACATAATAGTACAGTATAGAGTTGTAGTTCAATTATAAACAGTCTGTCTTTATATTTGCAAGAGATTTTAATGTTACGACTTGAATGAGTGACATGTGAGTCATATGACAACAACTCTAACCTTATCAAGATTCATCTTTTTATTGAATGCTAACAATTCAATTAAAAGTTATTTTTTAATATATAATATATTATTTCTTAATTATTGATTTTTTTTTTTCTCTCTAATGAGTCGTCAACATTCGACGGAAAAAATACGGAAGGTGATGCGAAAAGAAAACAAAATATATATGTCCCTTTTGTATATTATAAGATAGTGATCAAACGACTCAAACTATACTTTACAAAAGCCCATAACATATTGAAGTGTTAGTGATCTCTTTCTAAACTGGGAAAGGGATGAGAGAAGCTAGTCATTATCGATCGACTCCAACTTTATACTGCCCTAAGCCTTTATATTCATTAGCATATAATCAAAGGAAATTTTTTCACAGTTCTACTTCACTATCATAAGATCCTTATTACCACAAATGAAAAACTAAAAGAATAATAATATAAAATTCATATAACACTCATGGCACAAAAACTAC